CTTTTAGAAGCCTTAAACTCATAAAAAAAATTGTTTTTGCTAAGTCAAAGGTATTTATTAATTAATCAAAAGTTACAAAGCCAGCATAAAGTTAATTCAGCAAAGCAAATAGATCTATGCATTCAAACCAAACTGACAAAACACCACCCAAAGTATATAACTGAAGACAAAACACCTAAAAGTTACACCATCTCACCCATAAGCCAATTACCCCCCGACCAAAGCGAGCCATGTGTGTTTTCAATTTCTTGTATTGTCGGCATAGAATCACTCTCCACTATCACCTGCTCTGTACCCTGTTCAAAAGCTAGTTGCAGTCCCCAAAGGATCGCTCTTACCTCTGTATGAAGGGAACTTTCAGTCCAGTCTACCCAAGTCACTGCTGAAAAAACCACGTTACTATTTGAATCTCTAAGAACAGCACCTAGCCCAGCTTCTTGTTCTCTGACCCTATACATTGCATCCACAATGAGCTTTAACATATCCAGTACAGGAGGTTGCCAACTCTATCTTGTGGCGTCCTCGAGATCATAGTTGGTTGGGCAACCAATTCTAGCCTTTCCCTCACGCGGGCTGTCTTTACCAATGATTTCCACATAGCACATGTTACTTGATGGAGGCATTTTAATTACAATCATCGTATTGTAATTCTTATTGTGTTAATTATAATATCATAATTCTTAATATTATTATGTTTGATTATATAATTACATTAATATTAAGTTAACAAATATTATATTATTTTCAAAATGTGAAATGAAACCCAGTTAAGATGCTAATTGTACCTTTTGTCTCTTGGATAGTTGCAGTTGCTAATATTAAAACTTTTGGTTGCAAGATAACATTTCTTGTTCATACTATCTGATAGGAAAAAGCTATTAGCTTAAGAATCAAGCTACACTTATTGGCCAAAAAAAAAAAAATCAAGCTACACCTACTTAAGAAGGAGGATGTCACTTATTATACTGTCAGTCATTTCAATTTTTGATTGGGATAAGAAATTCGAATCCAACCTCTATGTAAGATAAAGACAACCAAACCAAGTGCTCAAGTGTGATACTTATTTAAGTGGGAAAATCGATACATGACTGAATTAGAAACAGTTGAGAAACCATTTTGTGGTTTTTCTTTTATTTTTGTTTTCTGAAGTTTCCTAAGTATTTGTGTTAATGGATCAAGTCATGCAAACAATAGAGTTAAAATTAATCTAATAGTGATTATGAATGATATATAATAATTAAAATATTAATCTTTTTTATTAAGGGCTTCAATGGCTTTCAAGACTCAATAATTTGGAAACTCTTGATTTAGGATACAACTCTTTGAAAATAACATATTGTTTCTTATTAATGGTCTTTTATTTTAAGGACTTTAAGTTTGATGAGAAATTACTTGAAAGGAATTATTTATATTCACGATAAACTTGCTTTACCTTTCTTTACGTTCAAATCAATTGTTATTTCAGGAAAAGGTGTAGCATATCATTTGCTTTTATACATAATACTAATTACTTAATGGCATTGAATAGGATTGAATAATCTGACAAATTTGAAGAACTTGGATCTAAGCTCCAATAAAATTAAAAGCTTCCAAACCATCAAGGCAAGGTATAAATACATATTTCAAGTCACTCAACTAAGTTCTTAATTATGTGATCAATGTATAAAATTTCCATTAACAATGGCATATAATAGAAAGGAGATACAACTAAAGAATGACCAATTGGAGGTTCTTGATTTAAGCAATAATCTCTTCAAGAATGAAACTTTTGCATTCCTTTCTGGCCTTCCAAGTCTAAAGTCCCTGTATATGAGGGACAACCAATTGCAAAGCTCAATAGATATTCAAGGTAAAGCTACTACAGTTTTTTTAAAATTTTTTTAATTCTGTTTTGGAACCTTTTTGCTCATCAAATAGGTAAAATCTCATATCACGTTTGGGGATTTTTCCTCCTTCACTTAAATCTTTAGATTTGTCTTGCCGTTTACTTCATTATAAAGTCATTAAAAATATTCAGTAAAAGATTATTTGAGTAACCAGGCTAACATAATGATTATTTGAATTGAACTTGGACATAGAATTGAATAATTTGATGAATTTGTAACCTTACAAGCTATGCATTTATATTTGCTCAATTAGTTAAGATGTTATATATAATTAAATATTATGTAAATATTTTTTTTACTGATGAAATTATGTAAACCTTATGTAGATAGTGGGAGACAGCTGAACTTGACCCATTTAGAAGAATTTGATTTGAGTTATAATCTCATGAATGACAGCATATTTGCATCACTTAGCGGGCTTTCAAATTTGAAGTCTTTGGATGTAAGCTCCAATCAGTTAAATGGATCAATATATATGAAAGGTAAAATTACTTTTTTTTGCAAAAAATTTGAATTTGTTAACAAAAATCTTAATTCATGTTTCAAGATGATATAACAAATAAATTTATCTGTTTGTTTTCTTTAATGATGAAATTATGTAAATTATTTATAGATACTGAGAGACAGTTAAAATTGACCAATTTCTAATCGCTTGATCTAAGTCATAATCTAATTAATTATTACTTTTCAACCAAACTTTCAACTCTGTTATAAATACTTAAAAAAAAAACACAATTCATGTTTTCAGATGATTTAATGAAGTTTATTTATTACTTTTTTTTCCAGACTTGAGTACTTTTACCAACTTAGAGGAACTGGATATGAGCTATAATGATTTGAATGAATTTGTGGCTTGTAAGGTATGGATTTAAATAAATTTCCATTTTTATTTGTGAGGTTTATAATGATGCAAGATGTTTTAACGATCAACAAAATTTAGCATATTAAAATTTAATCTCAATTTTTTAAAGGAGAAATTAATTTTTTATTATATACTTTTACTACAATACTACTATTCTCTAATTATAATAAAGAATTATGTAAGAATCCACAATTTATAAGTGTGACCTCACATAAAATTTTGTTAGACCTCATGCAATTTTAATTATAATTACTTAATCGTACTACAAATGATTGTAGGTGAATGGCTTCATTAAAATTAATGCCCAATTTTTAAAGGAGAAATTCATTATAATTTTATTACTAATAGAAAATGATGGATACTTGCATTAGATAATTGCTTTCTTTAAGAAGTGTCTGCAGCTGAATCAATATTTGCCTTTTTTGTTGTATTACCTTGTTGGTGTCTTAAGAGTTGGACTGTTTGCCTTCTGTCATTCTATTTTTTTAGATTTTATTACATTAATTTGGCTTTTTTACCGTTTTTGGTTTGATTTTCATCTTTTTGATTGGTTCGTATATTAAATTTATATTTAAAATATTTAACGATTCAATATTTCTTCTCTATTAAATTCATCTTGCATTAATCTTGAATATATAATCTTATCTACAAAAATGAAAATTTTCATTTATTTATTTTTTCATTTACAGAGTATAAGAGTTTGAAAAAGTTAAAAGTTCTTCGTCTAGATGAGGTTTTCACCAATGGAACATTTCCAAACTAAAATTAGTAAAGCATTATCAGTTAAACCTTTTATCTTACAATAATTATTAAACAGAATATGGTACTAAAATCAATAGTAAATCATTAATTTAATTGAAAAGAAGCGTAATTAGTAGTTGTTTATTGATTAAATTAATAATATAATTATTTATGATTACTCAAAAATGCATGTTAGTAATATGGACGAAATATTTCTAGACTTTCTTATCAAAAAACATTTTTCAAAGCATTGGAGTATTCACTTCTCTTAAAAATTTTCTTTAATAACTGTGATATGGTTCTATTTATTCAAAAATTATAAAGACTATTAATTTTTAATATAACTATGAGGAATACAATAGTTCCAATTATCCTTTTCTTTTCATATAATATCTTTATATATATACTGTTTTGGAAATCAAAATTTAATTAAAAATTCTTCCGTGAATTTATAAAATTTTCAGGTTGGTGTGATCTAAGGAACCTTAAGAGTTTGGATATCAGTGGGAATGCACTTGAGGGGATACTTCCTTATTGTTTGGGTAACTTGACATCTCTTCTTGAGTTAGATATCTCCAACAATCAATTTACTGGAAATTTGACTCCTTTAGCAAATCTTTCATCACTTAGATTTGTCTCCCTTTTAAGAAATCGTTTGCAAATTTCAATGCCATTCTTGTCACTTGCAAACCTTCCAAATCTCAAGTTTCTTTTGGCTGATGAAAACAAGATAGTAATGGAACCTAATTCCTTTCATACTTCAATTCCGAAGTTCCAACTAAACATCATCAGTTTGTCAGAGTGTATAACAGACAAAGGACTTAGTCTACAACCTCCTAAGTTCCTTTATTACCAATATGACTTGAGATATGTTGATCTTTCCCATAACAATTTCAGTGGAACAGTCCCGTTATGGTTGCTAGAAAACAACACAAAATTAGAAAATCTCTTCTTGTTGGGTAATTCTTTCACTGGTCCTCTCTTGTTACCTCATCTTTTTCATCCTAATGTGTTTTTAATTGACATATCTGAAAACAAATTACAAGGTCAAATTTCGACAAATATATGTTCAACTTTTCCAAATTTGGAATTGTTATTCTTATCTAAGAATGCCTTTGAAGGTAATATCCCTCCTTGTTTAAGTGGCATGAACACTTTATCATTTTTAGACCTATCGGACAATCATTTGTTTGGAAGAGTACCAGAAGAGTTGATCATGAGAAGCTCATTAGATGTTCTTAGGCTATCTAATAACAACCTAAGTGGAAAGATTGTTCCTTTGATGTTCAACACAAGAAAGTTGTCAAATTTGTATTTGGATGGCAATAATTTTGCTGGAGAGATTCCTGATATTGATGTCTCTACTACTGATTTTTCACATTCATCACTAGACGATATTGATCTCAGTAATAATAGTTTTAATGGAAAGCTCCCAAGATGGATAGGGAATATATCGCATTTGAAGAGATTGGCTTTGTCAAACAATCATTTTGAAGGTTCTATTCCAATGGAATTTTGCAACTTGTTTGAGCTTGAATTTTTGGAGCTTTCTCAAAACAATTTATCTGGCTCTATTCCTTATTGTTTCAATCCACCATATTTGAGACATGTCCACGTGAAGAGAAACAGACTAAGTGGTCCATTGACACTTACTTTTAATAGCTCTTCATTAGTGACATTAGATCTTAGAGGGAATAATTTGACCGGTAATATTCCAAAATGGATTGGCACATTTTCTTCTTTAAGCGTCCTTCTTTTGAAAGATAATCATCTAGATGGTGGAATTCCAGTTCAATTATGCAAGTTGTATTCATTGAGCATCATAGATCTTTCTGGAAATATGTTTTCTGGTCCTATACCTTCTTGTTTGGGTAATTTAACTCTGGCAATGAAATGGGAGAAGTCTTTTGTAGATGTTGTTTGGTCTCGAACAATTTCAATGAATGATCTACCAATAGACGTTCCATTTTATTTATCACATGATTATCCTAGTAGCTACATTGAAGAATGGATAGAGTTTACAACAAAGAGTGTGTCCTATTCATATGGTGGTGACATTCTTGAGTACATGTCTGGGATTGATTTATCTTGTAACAGGTTAACTGGGCAAATCCCACTCGAAATGGGAAATTTAAGTGAAATCCATTCGTTAAACTTATCTCACAATAACTTGGTCGGAGTTATACCTTCATCATTTTCACAACTTAAGCAAATTGAGAGTTTGGACCTTTCTTACAACAACTTGAGTGGTAGAATCCCTATACAGTTGGTTGAGTTGAACTTTCTAGAGGTTTTCAGCGTGGCACATAACAACTTGTCAGGTAGTACTCCAGAACCAAAAGCTCAGTTTGGGACCTTTAATGAAAGCAGTTACGAAGGAAACCCTCTTCTCTGTGGGCCTCCATTGCAAAATAACTGCTCAAAAACTGAGTCACCACCAACAGTACCAACTACAATAGACAATGAAGGAGAAGGTAGTTTCATGGACATATATGTTTTTTGTGTGAGCTTTCTGGTTTCATATGTAATTGTTTTATTGGGAATTTTTGTTGTTCTATACATAAATCCATATTGGCGACAAGTATGGTTTTCTTTCATCGAGAGTTGCATCACTACTTGTCGCTACTCAGTTGTGGGCAATTTTCTTGAGTTATACATCTTCAAAAGATGTGCTTAGGTGTCATGGGAGCTCTTGTGATTTGCCTTTTGTTTGAATGTGGTGAAGATTTGGATGAAGTTGATTTTTGTTATCAAAAGAAGTTTGGTGATTTGATCTTTTAAATGAGGGATTTCTTTTAGCACACTGTTCTTCTAAGATGGTTGTAGGACGAGTTGTGGATTTGGTTACTCATATTGCTTAGAAAGAGTCCTTTGATGATTTTGCACTTTCAACAGAGCTTTTTGTCTCTGTCGGAACTCTGTTTTTGGTATTCGTTTTGTTTTGAAGGAACTTGTTGATTTTATGTTTGTATACAAATATTCAATTCTCTATTCTCCATCTTCTCCAATTTATTGCTAATATCTTTTCCAAGCTATTATTCAAGTAGTATTAGTAAGAATTTGAATTTTAAATGAAATACATCACAATAAGTCAATAATTAAGAATATATCAGAATCTTTGAAAGAGTTTCCATCATATTGCAGTAATATGAAATAGTTAAGAATGTGCTTTTTCTTTTTTTTCTTTTATTTATCAATTTCTCATTTCTTGCCCTTTTATAGAGGTTTTATTTTTATTTAAAATTACTTAATATTTGTTGTCATTTGGAAATTAATATTAATTTATAAAATGAGCCAAATAAGCATTAGTCGTTGAAAATATCATTTTGATCGCAAAATGCAATTATTTTCTTTGATAGGATTACAAATTATTCCAAAATAATAAAAAAAAGATTTACATATCTCACACAGATGCAAATCTCATCAAATAAATAAATAAATAAAATGCATAATCTTCCAAAGCAACAATAAACATAAGGTGTTAGCCAATGAGACCATGGCTTAGTATAGTTTGTTAATTAATTATTTTATGATTGTACCTTGATGATGATGTAATAATTGATTATTCAATTGATTATATGAATGTAATACTTGATTATTATTATTATTATAAAAATTAAAAGAAAAAAAACTAAAATTTCTAAATTCATGCTTTGCATGGTTAATTTTATTTATCGTACTACTTTTCATTTTTACTTAAAATTTGTTAAATATAAAACTTTTTCCATTAAATTTAGTGAAAATACATAATTTATTTATTTATTGAACAAAGAATATAATTTAAACCTACTTTAACTTTATTCTTTTAAGATAATTTAAAATATTTTCAAATTTTAACTTCGATTTATTTTTAGATAATTTTAAAAATATATTCTTTCATATTGATTTGATAATTTTGAAGTGTTTTTTTGCAAAAGTCTTATTTTAATTTTCAATGAAAATAATTTAGTAGTTGAAGAGGAAGATTAAAATGTTGTATGTGATTTGAATTTAAAAATTTTTAATATAATATTTGAATTATAATTTTATTAATTAATATGAAGTACTATTTATTAATCACGTGTCATTATTTAAAACTTACAAGATTAAAAATAGATATCAAATAAATTAATAAATTTGTAATTTAAATTATTAAAATTTTTAAAATTTCAATTTCTTAGTTTTTAATATTTAACTTAAAAATCTATTTATAGATTGAAAATAAACCCCTAAAAATTATCAAACTACCCCTCTCTTGATTTAATAAGAATTTGACACATGACTAAATTGACTATTTTACCCTCATACTATAATTATAAAAATACCTTTTTTATAATTATTTACTATAATACCCCATATCATAATTACAAAAATATTTTTCTCTTAAATTGATTATTATGTCTTCATACCATAATTAAGAAAATAACTATTCTCTTATAATTATTTACTATAATGCCTTCGTACCATAATTACAAAAATACTCATTTTATTATTAAATTACAAAACTCTTATTATTGATCCAAATTACTATAATACCATCCTAACATAATTATAGAAAACCTTTTTCATAATTGATCAAAATTACTATAATACTTTTCCTACCATAATTACGAAAATGATTTTATGAATACTTAATAAGAAGTTGACATGTGATACTTTTGTTTCAAAATTAATAACATATATTAAAACAATCCTTTGATAATTATTATAATAACCTTTTGTTTATTTGATATCGATGTGTGTTCAAATTTACTATAATACTTTTTATCATAATTACAAAATACTTATTTTTTTTATAATTAATTAAAATTATTATAATACCCTCTTACAATAATTACAAAATATCCCTCAAAGTATAATTGACTAAATTACAAAAATATCTTTCCTACAAAAATTATAAAATACCCTTACCATAATTGGCAAAAATTTACTATAATGCATCTCATATGAAAATGCTTTTATGAGTACTTCATAAAAAGTTGACATGTGATACTTTGTTTCAAAATTAATAACATATATTAAAATAATTCTTTGATAGTTACTATAATAACTCTTTGTTTATTTGATATGATATCGATATGTGTTCAAATTTACTATAATATTTTTTTACCATAATTACAAAATACTTATCTTTTTATAATTAATTAAAATTATTATAATACCCTCTTCAATAATTACAAAATACCCCTCATAGTATAATTGACTAAAATTACAAAAATATCTGTCTTATAAAAATTACTACCATAATTGGCAAAATATTACTATAATGCATCTTATATTGAAATGCTTTTATGAGTACTTCATAAGAAGTTAACATGTGACATTTTGTTTCAAAATTATTATAATACTTTTATTGAATTATATATTAATTTTTAACATAATATAAAATTAACCACATATTAAATTATTAAAATATCATTACAATTGGTTTATGAAAATTTGACATGTGATATTTTATTTGAAAATTACTATAATACCACTATTAAATTACATATGAAATTTTAACATAATATAAAATTAAGTATATATTAAATTATTAAAATACCCTTGTCGTTACTTCATAAAAATTTGACATGTGAAATTTTGTTTGAAATTCACTATAATAGTCCAATTAAATTACTTATTAAATGTTAAATAATATATACTGAAATAATTTCCATTGAAATTACTATAACACCCTTTCATATATTTGATATGATTTTAACATGTATCCAATTTTACTATATTGCCTTTCAATTATAATTAGGAAAATATGACTCTTTTCATAATTAGCCGAAAAATATTATATACCTTCCTACCATAATTATAGATATATCTTTCCTATTATAATTAACCAAAATTAATAAAATTTAAAAAAAAAACTCTTTTACTATATTTGATCAAAATTATTATAGTACCCCTCATACCATACTTATGAAAATATCTTTTTTTAAAATTACTATAATGCTTCTTATATCATAATTACGTAAATATCTTTATGAGTGCTTTATAAAAATTGATATATGATATTTTGTTTTAAAATTGTTGTAATATCCATATTAAATTACGTATTAAATTTAATATATTATAAAATTAACTACATTAAATTATTAAAACACTCTTATCATTACTTTATAAAATTTAATATGTATCATTCTATTAAAAATAATTAAAATTAAATGATCAAATAAACTAAATAATTATAATTTTATTAAAATGAAAAAATTATATAATTTTATATTTAAAAATAAAAAATATTTAATCCTCAATATATAGTGGCGATCGCACACTAGACTAACATCAAAAACACCCACAACACCAAAATACAAAACTTCTCCCCTCCGCCTCCGACCTTTTCTAACGGCTCAGTCACGCGCGCCAAACAAAAGCATCCCTGAATCAAAATTTTACCCCCCAAAAAATAAATCTCTTCTCTCTCACTCGTCTCCTCAACCGTCTCGATACTCATTTTTTTCTTCTCCACTTTGAAAAAAAAAAAGGCCTTTCTTCACTTATTTTTCTAATATCTCTCTCTGTCTCTCCCGATGCCTTAGCCGCCTTCCATTGCCGGAACCCCAAAGGGCAATAGCTGGGACTCGTAAAAGGGGAGGAAACAAAGCAAAAGTTAAGAATTTAAGTTTAGGAGATCTTGTTCTTGCCAAAGTCAAGGGTTTCCCTGCTTGGCCTGCCAAGGTCTCTTCCCTTTTATTTGATTATTATTGCTACTTTTTTTATCCTGAATTATGGGTATTTTATATTTTGATGATTATATTTTTAATTTCTTATATGTTTATTTGAACTTATGAATTTGAATAAATCCATGATGAGTTTGGGATTTTTTTTTTTTAAGTTTTGCATGATGTAGGTAAGTTTATTTTATGCTTACATTGTCTGGCTTTGTATTTTATTTGTTGGTTTTCTACTCAATTTGTTTCCTTTAGTAAGTTTTGTTTTATTTTGTGAAAGGCCTTTTTTTGGAGTTAAAAGTTTTGCCATGCGTATGTTAGCTGATTGTGTTTTTAGTGTTTCAGGTTTGGTACTTTGCCTGTTTATCAATTGGGTTACTTAATGCAACTATGCAAGTTCTTTATTTTGGGTCTGAAAAAAAAGGGACAAATATGTGTATTTTTTTATTGCATGCTAGATTGATTTGATCCTAGAAACTGTCGTCAGAAATTTAGCGAGAGATTTTCAATTTATTTTTTTGTTTTTATTATTTTGTTACTTAGAACTCAGTTGGTTTTTTGCGATTTTGGTTTACGGTTGGTTTTTGAGGTAGATTCTATGGGTTATGAATTTCAGATTAGCCGGCCTGAAGATTGGGAGCGAGAACCTGACTCTAGGAAATATTTTGTCCAATTCTTTGGAACACGAGAAATGTAAGCATACTTATGTTCAATTTGTACATGTTTAGTGAATAAGGGAGATGGCAACGCGATGAATAAAGATATGTGATATGTCTGTTTTATGGTTTGCATCTGTTTTCTGGTAGGAGGGAAACCACATTTTACAATAAGATGGAACATGAGATAAATACATGAAAGGTGTTACTGGATAATTTCCGTGAAAAAAATATTAATTATGTTGTATTCCAAGTAACTTGTTACCTATGCCGATCCTAGCAGACAAAACATGATGTACTCTTTTTAATTTCCTGTCAATTTTGTTCACATAGGGTGCTTGCTGACTAGAGAATACATTGAAACTGACTTGATTTATTCTATCTCCGTGCTGTTTGTATACATCGTTGCTTTTCTTTCCATCCAGCTCCTATGATCAAGAAATTGTAGAATGCACATTGTAATTACAATAGGGGAAAAATTGTAATCGGGAGAGCTCTATGCTGAGTCCTCTATGTGTTAAAGTACTGAACTCTAGGCAGCTCTGTCATTTAGCTTTAGATTGCATAATATAAACTCATGGAGCTCACCATTCTAATGTTCAGGGAGTACTATTTGGCAGATGTGATAGCCATGCAGA